TGCCATGGAAGAGACAGAGCGCCAATGGGAGAGGGGTTGGATTTGTGGATTTGATGTTGATTATTTACACAGCAGGGGAGTGTGTGCGTGTAGCAGGGAAGGAAGGAAATAGGATTTGAGACTGGCTTCTAACTTTTTAAGGCGTCTGAGGACCTCTTTAAAAATCAGATGGCGGCTGGGCAGAGCGGCTCACACCTGTAATCCCAGCAGCACTTTGGGAGGCCGAGGCGGGAGGGTCACTTGGGGCCAGGAGTTGGAGATCAGCCTGGCCAACACAGTGAAACCCTATTTCTATAAAAATAAAAAAATTAGCCGGTGTGGTTAGCTACTCAGGAGGCTGAGGCAGGAGGACTGTTTGAGCCCAGGAGTCCAAGGCTGCAGTGGGCTATGATTGCGTCACTGCACTCCAGCCCGGGTGACAGAGCGAGACCCCCATCTCTAAAAAAAAGGGGGGGAAAAAAGATAAAGAGTTATGAACAATCTGCAAACCCACATACAATAAAAAAACAAACCAGGGCTGGGTGCGGTGGCTCATGCTTGTAATCCCAGCACTTTGGGAGGCTGAAGCGGGTGAATCACGAGGTCAAGAGATCGAGACCATCCTAGCCAACACGGTGAAACCCCATCTCTAATAAAAATACAAAAATTAGCCAGGCATGGTGGTGCATGCCTGTAGGCCCAGCTACTTGGGAGGCTGAGGCAGGAGAATCACTTGAACCCGGGAGGTAGAGGTTGCAGTGAGTTGAGATCACACCACTGCACTCCAGCCTGGAGACAGAGCAAGACTCCGATTAAAACAAAAAAACAAAAAAACAAAAAACTCGCAAATGTGCATTCAGGGGTTCACTGCTTTCCCTAAAAATATCCCATCTGCTGGGTAAGAGCTCCTAATTCAATACATGGTTTTCCATTTCTAGGATATCAAGAGCCATCACCACCTGCCTCTTCTGAGTACGGTGAATATGCAAATAAGCAGAAGACAACAAGAAACTAGAAACCCTCAAGTTTTCTAAGAAACCCTCAATTCTTTTCTCAAATCAGCAAAATGAGCCTCCGCCCCTGGCTGGTTTCGGAGCTCTGGGCAAATGACTGCAGGGAATGAGTCTCAGTTTTCCCATGGGGAAAATGGGCTAACATCCACCCTCTTCATCTACAAGGTTGCTTTGAGTTTCCAACAAGATAATGGAAGTTGAATCGCTGTGAAAACTGTGAAGTCCCCAACCAAATATAGAGTGTGAGCCTCACCTTCCTTCAAATGGTGCCAAAGCTGTGACTACCCTGGAGAGAGGTGACTCAGCGCCTTCTCCAAAGGGATCTGTCATGGCAGAAGCACGTGGCGTGGGACCTTCAGATTCACTCTGGGTTTTCCTGCAGGAGGAAGGAAGTCTTGGGAATTGCCTCCGGCCATGACCACTTTCAGGAAGCTGCTCATTTTTGCAGAGATTAGGGGCGTCTCAGAAGTTACAAAGCCCATGAGGCCCCACCAGGCCCCCCGATCTACAAAGCAAGTCCATTCCATGGGCACCAAGGAAGCATCCCCTCCCGACACCCTCGTCTCCGGGACAGCAGGGACCCCTCAAGGGTCTGTAACCTGGAAAAGGAGGATTACCAAAGGTCTGGAATCTCTACATTCGCCCAAATCCACCATAAACCTCAGTTTGTGGTTTACAGATGACCCTTGAACAACACACGTTTGAACCAGGTGGGTTCAGTCGTAAGCGGATTTTCTTTGTTTTGAGCCTGAGTCTCGCTCTTGTTGCCCAGGCTGGAGTGCAGTGGCGCGATCTCAGCTCACTGCCACCTCCGCCTCCCAGGTTCAAGTGATTCTCCTGCCTCAGCCTCCCGAGTAGCTGGGATTACAGGCATCTGCCATGACGCCCAGCTAATTTTTGTATTTTCAGGTGAGACGGGTTTCACCATGTTGGCCAGGCTGGTCTCAAACTCCTGACCTCAGGTGATCCACTTGCCTCAGCCTCCCAAAGTGCTGTAATTACAGGCATGAGTCACTGTGCCCTGCCTGTCCGTGGATTTTCTTCCACCTCTGCCACCCCTAGACCAAGCCTTCCTCCTCCTCCTCCTTGGCTTACTCAATGGGAAGATGATGAGGAAGACCTTTATGATGATCCACTTCCACTTAAAGGATGGCCGGTATTTTTTCTCTTCCTTTTCCTGAGGATTTTCTTTTTTCTCTTTTTTTGTTTTTGGAGACAGAGTCTCGCTCTGTTGCCCAGGCTAGAGAGCAGTGGCACGATCTTGTCTCACTGCAACCTCTGCCCCCTGGGTTCAAGCGATCCTTCTTGTCTCAGCCTCCTGAGTAGCTGGGATTACAGGTGCCTGTCACCACGCCCGGCTAATTTTTTGTATTTTTAGTAGAGGTGGTGTTTCACCATGTTGGCCAGGCTGGTCTTGAACTCCTGGCCTCAAGTTATCCTCCTACCTTGGCCTCCCAAAGTGCTGGGATTACAGGCATGAGTCACTGCTCCTGGCTTGTTTGTTTTGGTTTGGCTTTTTGAGACAGAGTCTTGCTCTGTCACCAGGCTGGAGTGCAGTGGCGCGATGGTCAGTTCACTGCAACATCCACTCCCAGGTTCAAGCCACTCTCCTGCCAGCCTCCTGAGTAGCTGGGATTACAGACGCCCACCCACGCCCAGTCAATTTTTGTATTTTTAGTAGAGACGAGGTTTCACGAGGCCAGAATGGTCTCGATCTCCTGACCTCATGATCCACCCGCCTCGGCTTCCCAGAGTGCTGGGATTACAGGTGTGAACCACCATGCCGGGCCCTGTATTTTCAATCTCATGAATTACTGCTCTGAGACAAGTCTATGTAAGAAAATATCTGAGGTTGAAAAACTGCTTTTTACAAATAAATCTACCTGAGGCCAGGAGTTTGAGACCAGCCTGGCCAACGTGGCAAAACCCCATCTCTACTAAAAATACAAAAAATTAGCCAGGTGTGTTGCCTAATGCCTGTAATTCCAGCTACTCGGGAGGCTGAGGCAGGAGAATTGCTTGATCTTGGGAGGTGGAGGCTGCAGCGAGCTGAGATCGCGCCATTGCGCTCCAGCTTGGCTGACAAGAGCGAAACTCTGTCCCAAAATAAAATTAAATAAAATAATAAAAATAAATCTATGTACAGTGGATCAAGGTCAACACCAGCCATGTAAGTTGTGTTGATGACATGGATCTTTGATGTGATTTGATGTCAAGGCACTTCATCTCTGTGGTCTTCCTCCCCCAAGTCCAGCTCCCCGCCTAGTCATGGGAAGAACATCAGACAAATCCCAGTGGAGGGACATTCTACAAAGCGCCTGACCAGTTCTCCTTGTAACTGTCAAGAGCATCAAAAACACACAACATTTGAGAAACTCACACAGCCTGGAGAATTCTTTTTTTTTTTCTTCTTGAGACAAGAGTCTCACTCTTGTCGCCCAGGCTGGAGTGCAGTGGCGTGATCTTGGCTCACTGCAACCTCGGCCCCCAGGTTCAAGTGATTCTCCTGCCTCAGCCTCCCGAGTAACTGGGATTACAGGCACCTGCCACCGCGCCCAGCTAATTTTTGCATTTTTAGTAGAGACGGGGTTTCACCCAGTCCAGGGAATTCTAAGGAGATGTAAGGGTTGAATGTCACAGGGGATCCTAGGACAGAAAAAGGACATTAAGGGGAAAAACAGATTTTTTTTTTTTTGACAGTGTCTTACTCTTTGGCTCAGACTGGAGTGCAGAGGTGCGATCTTGGCTCACCACAACCTCCACCTCCCAGGTTCTCCCAGGGAGACTCCTGCGTCAGTCTCCTGAGTAGCTGTGATTACATGCATGCTCCACTACCACACAGCTAAATTTTTTATATTTTTAGTAGAGATGAGGTTTCACCATGTTGGCCAGGCTGGTCTTGAACTCCTGACCTCAAATGATTCACCCACTTCGGCCTCCCAAAGTGCTGGGATTACAGGTGCGAGCCACCGTGCCCGATCTGCAATTTTTTTTTTTTTAAGACAGTGTCTTTCTTGTCGCCCAGGCTGGAGCGCAATGGCGCGACATTGGCTCACTGCAACTCCACTTCCTGAGTTCAAGTGATTCTCCTGCCTCAGCCTCTCGAGTAGCTGGAATTACAGGTGTGCACCACCACGCCCAGCTAATTTTTGTTTTTTAAGTAGAGACAGTTTCACCACGTTGGCCAGGCTGGTCTTGAACTCCTGACCTCAGGTGATCCCCCGACCTCGGCTTCCCAAAGTGCTGGGATTACAGGCATGAGCCACCTCACCTGGGCAAAAAACAGAGCAATTCTGAATAAAGTGTGGACTCTAGTTAATAATAATGAATTAGTATTGGTTCATTAATCGGGATGTAAGTAATGTGTAATGTAAGATGTTAAAAATAAGGTAAATTCTCCAAGGGGCTTATGGGAACTCTTCGTATTCTCTTTGCGATCTTTCTGCAAATTTAAAACTGGCCAGGCACAGTGGCACACGTCTGTAATCCCAGCACTTTGGGAGGCTGAAGTGGGAGGATCACTTGAGCCCTAGTGGCGGAGGGCGGGCAGAGGTTGCAGTGAACTGAGATCACACCACTGCACTTCATCCTGGGTGACAGAGCTCAGACCCTGTCTCAAAAAAAATTTTAAGGGTAAATTGTCTAAGGGGCTTATGGGAACTCTTTGTACCTTCTTTGTGATTTTTCTGCAAATTTAAAACTGTCCTAAAAAATAAAGTTGGTCAAAACACAAAAATGGGCAAGGCTTGGTGGCTCACGGCTGTAATCCCAGCACTTTGGGAGGCTGAGACAGGAGAACTGCTTAAGTCAAGGAGTTTGAGACCAGCCTGGGCAACATGGCAAGATCCCATCTCTTTAAATAAAAAAAATAAAAATAAATTACACACAAAAAAAGTAAAAACTTAAGATTTAAAGAGCAATGCTCCACCTATTTTTGCAAGGTTGATCTGCTTCCAGATACCCATGCAGGGAAAACAATGTTTACAGAGATTAAAGAAGCTTCTCTTGTTTTGTATTAAAATATTTTATATTAATCATTCAAACTTCATTTTATACAACGAATGCATACACCACTGGGGGAGTGTCTGACTGATGCGTGGGAGGGCGGGCGGGGATGTCTGCAGCTATGAGTAGGGAGGAGGCGGGGAGGCCCTGGGTGCTTCCTCTCCTCGACTGACCGGCCGTGTGTTCGTTCCCAGAGCAAGAGCGGGAGGCGGTCAGCCCCAGGGGGGATGGCACAGTGGAGAGACGGACCTGTAGAAGCGGTGGCCAAGGCCTCCATAAGGGCTTCCCCAGGAGATGTGACCTTTCCAGGTCTTGCAGCCAGTTTGCTCACCCTGAACAAGCTCCCGAGTCCCGGTCCTTGGAGTGCGGTGGCGACGGTGTGTGTGTGTGTATATATAGACATCTGCAACTGCCCCCTCTCTGGAACCTGCCCGTGCCCTGTCCCGCCTGCACACGGCCCTCGCCTAGGCGGCAGGCATGTCAGCCTTGCTGAGCGCGATGGCCAGTTCCAGGTCCTCCTGCTCCTGCCGCCGCAGCCGCGCCAGCCTCTCCTGTTCCGCCTTCTCGCTCTCCCGCTTGGCCCACGCCAGCTGCTGCTCCTCATTGCCAAACTGCAAAGGAAAAATGGAGAGTGGGTGATGTGGCCCAGGGGCTGGGACCTGCAGGCTGGAGGGAGGCAGGGAATGCGTGGGACGGGGACAGGGTCCTGCCCACCACCCGGCGGAGGGTCCGATGTGCAGGGGAAAAGCGTGTCTTGGCTGGGCCCAGTGGGCGTGCAAGCCTGGCTCAGGACCCCCATCTGGAAGGCAGAGAGGACGGGATGCATGATTGAGTGTGACCTTAACCGTGATCTCTGGGCCTCAGAAAAACCAGCCACCCTGCCCCACGTAGAGAAGTGAGGACAGGCCCTTGATGCTGGTGGCCAAGAGGTGCAAAGATGGGGAAGTTCGAGTGCGCATGGCTCTAAAGCCCCGCGGTGCAGACAATTCTGCACTCTGGGAACGCGGTATTTCTACCTCTGGCCATGCTCCAGAGAGCGCTGAGACCCTCTAAGGGTCCTTTTCTTTCCCCCCCCTTTTTTTTTTTTTTTTTTTGAGACGGAGTCTCGCTGTGTTGCCAGGCTGGAGTGCGGTGGTGGCACGATCTCAGCTCACTGCAACCTCCGCCTCCCGGGTTCAAGGGATTCTCCTGCCTCAGCCTCCTGAGTAGCTGGGATTACAGGGGTGTGCTACCATGCCCGGCTAATTTTTGTTTTGTTTTGTTTTGGGACGGAGTCTCGCTCTGTTACCCAGGCCGGAGTGCAACGGAGCAATCTCGGCTCACTGTGAGCTCCGCCTCCCAGGTTCCTGCCATTCTCCTGCCTCAGCCTCCCAAGTAGCTGGGACTACAGGCATGCGCCACCATGCCCAGCTAATTTTTTTGTATTTTTTATAGAGACGGGGTTTCACCATGTTAGCCAGGATGGTCTCGAGCTCCTGACCTCGTGATCTGCCCGCCTCGGCCTCCTAAAGTGCTGGGTTTACAGGCTTGAGCCACCACGCCTAGCCAATTTTTGTATTTTTAGTAGAGACAGGGTTTCACCATGTTGGTCAGGCTGGTGTTGAACTCCTGACCTTGTGATCCACCCGCCTCGGCCTCCCAAAGTGCTGGGATTACAGGCGTGAGCCACCGCACCCGGCTCTGAGGGTCGATTTCTCCCAGAACATTGACAAAAGCTGTGGCATTTACACTGCCATTTCGTCAAGTTTTTATCCGTGGGGTGTTTTTCTAAAATATTGCATTAAAATAAGAACTTAAAAAAGGGAGAAAAGCATCTTGATGCTGAGCTAGGTGATTTCAAACAACTCAAAGTACTTTAGTTATGAAAAGAAAAGCCACGTCCCACAAGCTGCTCCCCCAGGGTGGGTCCCCATGTCCCAGACGTCCGAGAGGTCACTGGCATCATTGGCCCCCTCAGGAAAGCTGCTACCACACTTAGGGACTAAAAGGATTCCCTTATTAACATCTCTCTGCGATGCACTGCCTCTGACCAGCTCTCTGCTAAACGCTGGAGTAACACCAAAGATAACACACGCGGTGGCTCTTCCCCAGGCACCCTTGGGAGCAGAAACATACAAACAATCCCAGTACAATCCAGGACCCAGGCTCTTGAGGAGGGCCCTGCAGACTCCCCCGGGAGGGTGGGGAAGGAAGCACACAGGAACGCTTACGGCCTCTCCACCACACGCAGCACCATGTCTGTGTGACAACCTGGGGGTGGGCCCGCTGTCATCCCATCCCTCTGACAGCTGGGGACGCTGAGGCCAGGGAAGGGGTGGCTCACACTCTACACTTTTTTCCCCCAGGCCCGCGGAGGGTGGGATACCGGCTAAAACTGACAGGGAGGATGCGTCCCCATGAGGTTCGGGGTGTGAGGCTCAGTGCCCGACCTTGGGGTTGCCAGGACAAAGCATGGGGTGGGATAAGCCAGACTGAGGAGGGGCTTATGGGCCCCAGAAAGGAGCTGGGATTTCCCTGTGGAAGCTCCATGGGTGAGTGAGTTGGGTGATCAGATTGGCGGCGTCTGGATATTTCATGGCTTGATGGTGGCATAAGCAGGGCTTGGGAGAGACGAGGGCCAGATGGCAGGGCTGGGGGGACTGGGCCAGGTGCAGGAGCGGGTGGATGCAAGAAACCTGGTTGGGAGGCAGATGTGGCAGTGAGGAGGATGCGGAGCCCTGGAGGCCTCCCTCTAGCTGGCCTCAGGACCCAGATGGGGGACAGGCGGAGTGTCAGTATCAAGGAAAGACATCTCTCAGAAGAAGGGCTGAGTCTTGACTTCTTACAGAGGCACTGCCCAGCTAAACACTTGGGGGTCTGATGAGTCTCCAGGTCGGACTCCCTTCCTGCCATTGTGTCACCGCCATGGGCACAGATAAGCGTCCCCCCTCCACCCCACTTTGGGGAATTTTCCAACACCTCATGGGGAGAAAAACAAGGAAAAAACAAGTGCAGGTGGAAATTATTCCATGGTGCTGCTGACAACAGTGGGAGGGGGACAGCGCAGCTGACGGGGATCTCACCCTCCACTAGCCTTGAGGACAGCGTGGGTGAGAGCTGATGGTAATGTTCGCCCGGATCCAAATCAAAGCCTGGAGCGGCCAAGTGACCGGCCTGCTGGGTCTGAACCACAGGCCCCTGGTCTTCTTTGGCCCCGCTGAACCCCCGTGTCGCAGAGTGTCACTGAAGCGCCTTCTGCTTGAGGGATCTGTGTTTCCAAATGAAACTTTCAGTAGGAAAGTTCCCGGTGCCTTCCGAGTTGACTGGTTCAAGGCCAGCTCACGAATCCACTACGGAGACCTGCAAGCATGCACCGAGGAGGCACGCTGAGCTGTGAGGTCTGCGAGAGCTCTCCGGAAAGGGGATTCCGCGGCTCCCTCTGCGTCTGCTGTCTTAGCCCTGGACGGGGCTACCTTCTAGTTCTCAGACCTGGGTGGGTCACATGGGCCAGAATCTGGATGCCTGTGGGTGTGGCTGATGCAAAATCAATAGTGGCTGGGATTCACACCGGCTCTGATTTCTGCTTCCCTCTGGCACTACCATGGAACCGAGACACCGCAGAGGCGGGATACACCACCCTTGCCAAGGTCTGCCCACTCAGGATGCAGTTCATTTTCAGAAGCAAATAAGTGGTTCATTTCGGCAGCCTCTTAGAAATCCGCAGTTCAGACGGCTCAGCACACTGGGCGATGGGACGGCCCAGGGAGGCGCGCGGCACCTGTCCTCACTAGGAACGGACACTGGCACTCCAAGGCGTCTGATGGCACTTCCACCCCACCATGTGCAGGACACGCCTAGCCACTTCCTATTCATTCACTTACCCTGACATTGAGATCGCATCCAACTCCTTCACTAATTCAAAGCATGGCCTAGCTGATCTGATATTTGCACTGCTCTTAATTCGAACTTCCAAAAGAACCGTTCTGCTAACCTAGAAATGCCACTTCCTAATACACACATTTGCCTGAGACAGAAAGGCCTGCTTTTAAAGAAATACCAGAGAGGGAAGAGGGTTCCCGGGAACAGCCACACGCACAAATAACCCATTGATGGAAATTTGGGGCTTGTAAAGTAGAGGGTTCTGGAGAGGCCCAGTCGGGGCACCACCTCCACAAGTGAGGTGCGGGTGACCTGGGCCCCCTGACTGCCATCGTGGACTGGGCTGCTCCTGCACAGGTGAAAACGTGCCCTGAACAGCAGTCTCAGAACATCCGAAAGAGTCACGCTGCCAATCTGCCGGGCAGTCAGACGCCCTCTTGGCATTTGCTCAGGGAAGTGGAATCATCCAAACCAGAGGAAGCAGCTGTGCCCTCTTCTAAGTTAGCACAAATACTCAAGATCCAGCGGACCCAGAACCCACTGGCTGATCGGCTGAGCCCCCGAATGCCGTGAACATGGAGAGACGCCTCGAGTCCCCAGAGGGGGCTGGTTATGGATGATTTTGGACAATGATATGACCCAAGGGGACAAGCAAAAACAATGAAGGGTCCTATCTTCACTCACCCCATCCCTTCGGAGTGGCTCAAGTACACTATCTGATCATTTCCTCTGGAAAAAACTGGGGCATCTGCAGTGGGAAAAGTGATTTTAAACAGAAAGCAGGCCGGGTGCAGGGGCTCATGCCTGTAATCCCAACGCTTTGGAAGGCCGAGGCAGGAGGATCGTTGGAGCCCAGAGTTCAAAGACCAGTGTGGGTGGTAAAGTGAGACCTTGTCTCCACCAGAACATTTTAAAATTAGCCAGATGTGGTGGTGTGTGCCTGAGGTCCCAGCTACATGGGAGGCTCAGGCGGGACGACTGCTAGAGCCCAGGAGGTCAAGGCTGCGGTGAAGCTGTGATTGCACTGCACTCCAGCCTGGGCAACAGAGTGAGACCCATCTCTGAAAATGTAAAAACCAAAAAACTAGGTGAGAAAAAAACTAGAAAACGGCAGGGCTGCACCCAGGCCTGGGTGGAATTTGCTCTCCCACCGGGAGGGGAGGGTGATAAACTGGCTGGCGCTGTTTTAAACCTGCAGTTAACAATTGTTCTGGAATGACCAGAAATGCTAAGCCAAATGATACCTTGAAATCTTGGGTGGTTTTTTTTTTTTTTTTTTTAATGTTTTCGAAAAAACCAGCCCTTTGGGGGTTGGGGTCACAGGAAATAGAACTATGAAGTTCAGAAAGAGAACAGTCATTTCTTCAAGCTGCCGTTCACCCCACTTATCTAACTCTTCCCTACCCAAGACAGAGTACCTGAGTCATGTGTGAAGAGTTCTGTTTTCTTTAAATCAGCATTTAATATTTTTCCACCAGAAAATAAATGAAGGGCTATTCAAGAAACTCTAGATAAAGCAGGTTTTGTTTCTGGCTTTTATTAACAACGTCACCATTTTGTATAGACCCTCAGGGCGCATCTAGGGTCAACAAAATCAAACTCACTACAGTTGTAAAATATTTACAGGTCACCAAGAGCCAGAAACAGGTCAGGGTCTTGGGAGACCTAAATAAGCCACACGGGCCAGTCATGTGTAACCCCAGTACTTCAAGGTGGGAGGACAGCTTGAGGCCAGGAGGTCCAGACCAGCCCAGGCAACACAGCAAGACCCCATCTCTACCAAAAAAATTAAAAATCAGCCTTGCGTGGTGCTGCACGCCTGTCGTCCCAGCTACTCAGGAGGCCAAGACAGGAGGACTGCCTGAGCCCAGGAATTTGAGGTTACAAGTGAGCTCTGATCGCGCCAGTGCAGTCCAGCCTGGGCAACATAGCGAGATCCTGTCACTAAAATAAATAATTGATAAATAAGCCATAGGATAGCTGTGCACGGTGGAGATCATCAAGATGGCTCAGAAACAAATCGGGTGCTTTCTGTGCATTGGCATGGCAGGGCTTGTGTTCAAAGAGCCATCCCAGGAGTCGGAGCATCTATAAATAACACGTCTCACACCTAATGATGAAGGAACTAACAAGCTCAAAGGAAGAAAGAGAGTGCGTCACATACAATAAAACCGATTCTGGGCAGACAACACCTGAAGCTTTCAGAGAACAAGATTTTCATGTTATCAAGGACGCTACTAAAAACTCCTTGAAGCGACGGCATGTTACAATCTGGAGTATTTTTCACACAGAGAAAAAACAAAGCTAGGCTTTCAAAATCCCGGGATTTGCTTCTGAAAAGGCACTAAACTTTGTTCAACAGCTTTTTTGAGCTCTTTTTGTTTTGGCTTTCAGAGTGGCCGTTCTAGACTGGATTTCTTTTTTCATTGGAGCTGGTAACCAACATTTAAAAGCTTTTTTTAAAAAAAAAAAAAAAACAAATGCTCTTCCCTGCTGTGATCTGCCTAAAGTCCTTCAATTTGTACTTGTGGCACAAAATGCACGGGGCGCGACTATGAGAACTTGTGCACAAAGGGCTTTTTGGGGACAGCAGAACCCTAATGTAACTTTTGCAGTCTTTTTTTCATACTTCGGAAGTGTTTGACATCTTGGCTTCCAAAAACCAGCGAACACGACAGCCTCGGTGCGACAGAAATAATACAAGGAATCTACCATGAAGGACAGATACGTCCCGCCTCCCTGCTGGAAGAAAACGTGCCCTTACGATAGAGCATCAAAACCGCGGCTCTTTTTTTTTTTATTGAGAAACTGTTTTTCTTACAGAAGTGGCAGTGTAGAATAAATAACGCGAGGGACAGAGAGTGTGAGGTACCAAGAGGCTAAAGAAGCTGGGAGGTTTGCCTTTAAAAAGAGACAAAAATCCCAGGGAAGCTGCAAGCGGAAGGAGGGGGTGTGGCCCGGAGGCAGAGGACTCAACTTACAGAGGTGAAGTCTGCAAAGCCCGAGGCAGAGGCCTTAGAAGGTTTAGCTGCAGAGGAGGGGACAAATGGGTCTTTTCCACTAAACGGGTCCCCAAACCCCTTTTTACTTTGGAACGGGTCGCCGCTGTCAGCCCCGAGTGGCTGGAATGGATCGGGGGTCTCGGGAAAGTCTGCGGAACCAAGCTGGCTTACAGGTGTACTTTTACCTGGAAAGTTTAGGAGAAAAAAAAAAAGGAGAAAGAAAGAAATATGAGTTACTCACCCGGACAGAGCAGAATGCCAGTGGGCACAAGCCTGGGGCGCTTCTCTGGGAAGAGCTTGGAATTTGGCTAACAGACGGGATGGGGGTAGCCTGGGGAATCCCAGTTTTAATCAGCTTTATCCCAGGGGCTTAACCGGTTGTGAACAACACAGGAAAAACACTTCAGATGACTCCCATACACAACACATACAGAGCAGCTAAAACTTGAGTTGCCCTTGAATAGTTTGCATGCAGGTACGTTTCAAACAGATTCAATTTAGCATGGCAACACATTTATTAACACACTAATTTAAAAAATCATGGCTGAGCAGAAAAATACACTGCAAGCTTCTAACAGTTAAAGAAAAAAAAAAAGGCGGGGTGGGGGAGAGTTACTTACAAATGAAGAGGGATTAGTTTCACAAGGTGGTATGGTTATTAGGCGTGTTAGTTATGAGGGTCTGCACACAGCTCTGCCACGCTAAGGTTGAAGTTCTTTTTTTTCTTTTGAGACAGAGTCTCGCTCTGTCACCTGGGCTGAAATGCAGTGGTGCAATCATGGCTCATTGCGGCCTTGGCCTCCAGGGCTCAAGCGATCCTCCCACCTCAGCCTCCTACAGGTATGAGCCACCATGCGTGGCTAATTTTTGTATTTTTAGTAGAGATGGGATTTTGCCATGTTGCCCAGGCTAACCTCAAACTCCTGGCCTCAAGTCATATGCCTGCCTCAGCCTTCCAAAGTGCTGCGCTTGGCCTTAAGTTCTTTTTTAACCCCCACTTCTGTCCCTCTGGTGTTGGCGGCTCCAAGGGGCAGGGTTCGTCTGGGCCTTTCTGGGCTTCTGCCAAGCAGGGAACTCCAGGATGCCCAGTCCCGGCAAGGCGTCTCTTGACAGGGAGGTGGGAAAGAAGGGTTCAGAAGTGGAGGAAAATGAGACTGTGTGAGGGACATGGCCTGAGGACAGGTGGCTTTTCCCAGTGCATACTGCCAATGTACCAGAACATTCCACCAAGAAGCAGAGGCCTGTTGAGATCTGCTTGGTGACGGGAGGTCCCACCTGCCAGGTCTTCTAGCATCTGCAGTTTGCAGGCCAGCCGGGCTGACCCCATGCTCCTGTCTGACACCCTTCTATCTGCCCAGCGGGGTCCCTGGGCATTCAATGTGGTCCATGCAGCACCCCAGACTGGAGGCTCAATAACATGTAACGCGATTCCAGTGTTAACTCTGGAAGTTTCGAGGCTAATGTTTAGAAAGAAACCAGGAACTGCCTGCCCCTCCAGGGTTGACCTTGGATCTCTGGCTGCACCTCCAGAGAGCACCTTGGCTCCCAGCCACACCTGCCCCGCGCACCACCTGAGCCCGGCACGCCTGCCTTCCTCATCTGGTAGAACGAGCTCACACAGGCCATCTTCGGTCCCTCTGCATGCCCAGATCTAAAGCCGTTCCCTGTGTTACCGCAGCAGATCAGCCATCCCAGGCCTCATTTTTGAGGCCCCAGGTGTCCCTGTGGGCTCCGGGGCTACAGCCCGCATCTGCTGCCTTTAGCTCTGGGCCTCGGCAAGGGAAAGTGCCTCCTCCCAGCTGGCCTCGGTTTCCTTATCTGTGAAGTGGAAATGAGGAGGAGGGCGCCAAACAAGGTGACATTCCTGGGATCCCAGGAGTCTGCTCCCACTCAGTGTCCTGCACCGCTGTGCCCAGCGTGGGCCAGTGAGAACCTGACCTGTAGCCCCCCCTTGCCTGTAGCCCTACTTCTGGAAACGGAAATTGACTTTTCTCTTGACCGGCAGTTCTCGGCCAGCATAAGGACTGCTGCTTTCTTTTTGCATATTCAAGGAAAAAGTCTTCCTTCCCACAGTTTGCACAGAAGGACTCAGAGACAAACTCCCCGACAGCCCACCCTTGCGGCCTGCCTGCCCCCACCTGTCCACAGGGTTCCACCAGGGTCACCGTCACATCCTTGGCTGACCTCTGGCCACCGGCTGCAGGAGATCCTTCCAGACTCTCCCCGTCTGTGTGAGTCCATCTAAGAGGCCCCTCCTCGGGGCTGGAGGGAGAGCTGTCCTGGGCTCTATTAGGACTCACATGGATGAGAAAGGCGGGAGGGCGAGGCCTGGTATCAGTCTCCTCCTGTGGCCTCAAATCAATTCACTGTCAGCCCCAAGGCCCAGTTAGCAAAGGGGGCCCTGGGATCTGGAAGGGGCGCACACGGACTATCTTTGCCAAAACTTGTGGGCAAGCCATGCTGGAGACCCTTCCCTAGAGGGGTAGCGCCCAGCCCACGCGGGCAGGACAGGAATGTGGCCCCTCTCCCTCCGACAGCGCCTGCCCTCTCAGGGCAGTCCCCATGTGTCTCTCTTTCTCTATCCCCAGATGTCCCTCCCACCTTCAGCTCTACTGCAGCCTCCTCCTACCCCTGACCTCCCCGGGGCTGCAGAGAGCAGGGTGATCTGGCCCAGCCCACAGCCCCCGGGCTGGTTCCACTGGCCTTGAGGAACTGCCTCCCATGCAGGGCCACTCCTGGTCCCATGCATGAGCCAATGGGAAGCCAAGGCCTCGCTGCAGGGTCTCCAGGAGTTGCCTCCTTCCCTCTCCTAAGGCCCAAGGGACAGGAAGGCAGCTCTGGCTGGAGGTGGTCAAGTGAGGCCTGCCCAGGCTCCTGTGAACCCCAGGCTGTCCCCTGGAGCAGAGGGGGCTCCTGAGCAGGATGGAGGGTGGGCGAGGGCCCCTCACCTCCACCCTCCCGTCCCTAGAAGCCTCGTCTCCCTGTTGGCTACCCACCAGCTTGGCTCCCTTCCCTGTGAGCCAAACCCACCCAGCAAAGTGGGCTCTTAACACAGGTAGGCCCCAGCACCCTGCCCAGACTGCCTGACGGCTTCCCCCACTTGGGGATGACACCCCAGTCTCGTCCAGGTGGCACCTCCTTCCCCAGGAACCCCCAAACCTAGGGCTTCTTTCCCGGCTATGCCTTGTCCCTCCGCCTGGAAGGCGCTCCCACCTGGAATCCATCACAGGTGGGGGCCTTCTCAGGGAAGAAATGGCAGCCCCTTCCCCATCAGGCCTGCGTTCAGCTCTGCAGCCCAGCCCTGGGGCTAGGAGTGGCCCTGAAAGACAGTGGGGACATGGTGGCCACCCCCTTCAGCCTGGCACCGGTTGCTGTCAGCCTGTTTCTTAATCCAAGCAAAGGGCTGTGTCCCCCCAACAATTGCTCGTATGTTCAAGTCCTAACCCCTGTGCCTTAGAATATGACCGTATTTGAAGATAGCATATTTAAAGGGGTAACTGAGTTAAAATGAAGTCAGAGAGTCAATGACTGTCCTCACTGAAAGAGTTTAGGACACAGATCTATGCACAGAAACAGCCATGTGACGATGCGCCAGGCCAAGGGGAAGCCTCAGAAGAAACCAACAGCACTGGCGCCTTGATCTTGGACTTTGAGCCTCTAGAACTGCGGGACAATCCATGTCCACTGTTTAGGCTGAGACAGAGCAAGTGTGAGCAGGCAGCCACCAAAGCCACGGGCAGGGGCGCCCTGGGGGACAATGTGAGAGTGTCCTGCACCCTAGAGCCTGTGGGTTTGCAGCGGGGAGAGACAGTGACCTCAGCCAGTCTCTGGAGCCCCTGCCTGCCTCTGCCCAGCCTCTCCCTCCACGGGAAAGCCCCCCCATGCCAGGGCCCCTCACCACTCTGTCTGCTTCCCGTGGCACTGGCCTCTGGCACGGCCGAGGGTCAGCTCTGTGAATAGCGGGCCCAGCATATTCATACAAATGCCAGCCAATACTGCCCCATGTCCCTGGTGCCCTCCAGCCCAGGGCTCGCCACAGTGGGCTTCAGGAGGTCCTAGTGAACCAGGTGCCACCTGTTACAGATTCCACAGGTCTCCAGGGACCTGGGGCCCTTTGGAGCAACACCCTGGGGAGCAAGAAGGGAATAAAGGCATCTGGCCTTCCTGGTTTGCAGGAAACAACGATGTTACTGTGCCGGCTTGCCTATTTATTTTTCCTCGAATACCTATGTGATATGGATCAAATCGCAAGATTCTAGCAGAGGAAACAGGAAGTGTTTCCAGGGGAGAGGCTCAAAGTCCCAGGACACGGTGTAGCCCCCTGGGACGGGCAGCAAGTCCAGGATGGACACTGCTTGATTTCTCGAAGCCGTTCCTGCAGGGAATGATGATCTGAGGCAGATCTGCAAGTATCTGGAGAGGGGTGTAAAGGGAGGACGCCCCAGCCAGGCCCCCAAGAACAACCGCCACGGTACCGAAGGTTCAAATAAATCAGTCATTTTTGAGCTGCTTTTCTTCTTCTTTTCAATGAAGATCTGCCTCCCTTGGTTTGGGGGGTTTAAAAAAGAGATTGGTTTTTGGGAGGAGTGGTTAAGAATTCTGCCTGCTACCATTTCAAGCTGAGGTTTCTGATGCGCAGAGATGATCGGAGATGAAAAGCTTCGTTCACACCAAGAACTGCCTGTGCCTGGTTTTGCTCTGTTGCCGAAACCGTTGTTATTTAGAAATCATGACTATGGTAATACGAAACCAGGGCATATCAACTGCTGGCCTCTTGTTTTCAGAAGGAAAAAAAAAACAACAACAACCGTTTTTTTCTCAGTTGTTAGTGTTTGTGCTTTGGCAAAGAGGCGATTTTGGACCTGACATGTGTGAGGTCGGCCGAGTGCCCGGTCCAGCTCTTGACCTTGCTGATGACGGAGGCTTTGTGCAATTGAAGCCCCCAGCATCACTGCAGGGCCACGGCCCTCAGCCCAAAACTTCCCACTTTTGCTCAGCGATTTATTTTTAGCAGCTGTATTTTTCAAACCTTCTAGGTCTAGTTCCTGCTTTTTATGTAACCACTTCTGCTAACTCCTTAATCGTTTTTTCTGATTTTCTGAGGTGTAGCTTATCTCAAACGTGACAAAGTAACTTTAATGTGCCTCTAGTCCCTAAAGCAAAAGCTGCAACGCGCACCCACGGC